ATAGAAAGCAGTTGTTTGGGCTGAGATCCAGTATCAGTACTTGTAACTGCATTTGATTTAACATCTCATTGCAGCAAAGATTTTATCAGTCAAGTTGCTAAACTTACATTTAAGAACAAATTCTTTGATCTGTGATAAATTTCCAAACTGTCCCAAAAAAATCAACCTCAGCTATCTTAATTTTTCTGTTTAGTTTGCTAAAGGCGCAATGAATCCTGGGATATTGTTAGCCACATAGAATACTGATATGTTGCCTATGTTTTTGGGGTTTTGCCACATGAGTAGGCACCTACAAATTGGGACAGCCTATGGCACGGGGCAGTAACATAAGCAGCTGACATGCACCCTACATCAGCTGCAACCCCTGAATGACACAGCTGATATGTCAACAGCTCAAGTTAACACTTGTGGTAAACTGTATAACCAAAAATGGGTCCGTTTTTTTTTTCTGTAAAAAAGGACAATACATTGAGATATCAAAACTGTATAGTTATTTGTTATTTTGACATTAATATAGTTCAGAGCTCTTTGAGTCACCTTTATGTCATTGTCTCTTGATTTGTGTAACTCATGACTGCTGACAGGTGCAAACATGCCACAAATACATAAGTGATACAAACTCCAAACACACAAATGCAACAGACAAATGCTGCAAACTCGCTCCACCAACTGAATTGCACCAGACCACTAGGGGGACTCAACAACTAAATCATATGGGACCAGACCCTCAGTAAAGACATTAAGGAAGGATGTTTTCTTTCTACCTTTCTTTGCGCCAGTTTTATTTTGCACTTTGTTGTCTTTAATGAGGGCCTACAGTTTTAGCTGCCAGTCTGCAAGCATTTAAAGGAGCTGTTCACTGCTCACTGGTGAACGGGCCAGCTCCCAGAGTATCGGGAAATCCTTCATGGTGTCCAACACCAGTCGTGGTGAGCTAAACCAGATCTCAGTAATTTTATCTATGCTCACCTCTGCAGACAGTTCAGAGGAGCCGGTGCCTCCTGTGTGTTCCCGTGGGCCGGCTTCTTTCTGTGTGAAGTTGCTGATACATTCAGATGAGACGTTTCCAATGCCTTCCAATGAATTGTATCTGATGAGAAGTTTATGGTATGTTATAAGGAGAAGTTTCCAATCTGAGGTTTCTGGTGCGTTCTGAGAAGTTCCCAGTACGTTCCGATGAAAAGTTTCCGGTGTGTTCCAATGAGAAGTTCCCAGTGTGGTCTGATGAGAAGTTTCCGGTGTGTTCTGATGAGAAGTTTCCGGTGTGTTCCAATGAGACGTTTCCAGTGTGTTCTTTTGAGAAGTTTCCGGTGTGTTCCAATGAGACGTTTCCAGTGTGTTCCAATGAGAAGTTTCCGGTGTGTTCCAATGAGACGTTTTCAGTATGTTCCAATGAGAAGTTTCCGGTGTGTTCCAATGAGAAGTTTCCGGTGTGTTCCAATGAGACGTTTCCAGTGTGTTCTGATGAGAAGATTCCGGTGTGTTTCAATGAGAAGTTTCCGGTGAGAAGTTTATGATATGTTCTAATGAGAGGTTTCAGGTCTGTTCCGATGAGAAGTTTCCAGTGTGTTCTGATGAGAAGTTTGTTCCGATGAGACGTTTCTAGTGCGAACTGATAAGAATTTTTTTAATTTTGTATTTGTTTTGTACGTTTCAATGAGAGGTTTCCAGTGTGTTCCGATGAGAGGTTTCCACTGAGGTCCGTCAGGCCAGCAGTGGTGTTAGGTCCTGTGTGTCGAGTAGTCCTGGTGTGCCGGACAGATCTAGTAAGTGTTAGCCCATGTGTGATTTTTGGTACTTACAGAGGGTAAAATAAGTATCGAACACGTCAACATTTTTCTCAGTAAATATACTACTAGAGGTGCTAATGACATGAAATATCCACCAGATGTTGGTAACAACCCAAGTGATCCATACATACAAAGAAATCAAACCATAAATGTCCAGAAATGAAGTTATTTGTAATAATGTGGAATGGCAC